CTTTGACAAACTCACCAGAGCACATGCAGATTTGGTCCTCAATCAGAAACATATTTTCTATTTCTAGTTCCTAAAGGAAATGTAAGTTTTGTACTTGGCAGAAGCTATAGCACCATCTTGTGGACATGAATGCATTGGATCACAAGCTTGCTCTGAAAATTTTAGTCATCTTTAAAAAAAAGTCAATCTTGATATGCCTTCTTAGCTCTAAATCACTCTTGGAATGCACAATCTATTAGTGGCAAAAGACTTCTTATATGCTCTAATTCTATGAGGGTGGAGTTAGCATTATCCACCAGTGGCAGCTATCTTTCTGTTTTGCTTTTGGGATAGGGTCTCATTCTCTCACCCAGACTGGAGTGCGGTGGTGTGATCATAGCTCACTGCAGCCTTGAACTCCCAGACTCAAGCAATTCTCCTGAGTCAGCCTCCCGAGTGGCATAGTGTGCCACTATACCTGGCTAATTTTTTTTTACAGATGGGGTCTCTCTATGTTGCCCAGGCCGACAGAGGCAGCTTTCTTTTTTTTTTTTAGAATAATTACCATACTTAGGATCCTATATTCTCCCCAGCTCAGACTCATTTCTTTTAGGATGTGTGTCCTCAGGTTTGGATTTTAACCATGTCCCAAGGCATCTTGGCTTCTTTGAAGTTAACACAGTCACTCTAAGCCCCTAACAAAATAAAGGAACAATCACTGGGTGCTAATGTTCTTTTCTGTCTCCACTGGTGAATCAGACATCTCTCTTCTTAAGCAATAGAGTCCATTGACACAGGGCTTGGGAAAAGGAGGTCCCTTCATTATTAAGAACCTAAAGCATTTGATTGGGAGCTCACAGAAGAACTGGAAAAGAGGCTGAGACAGGAGGATCACTTGAATCCAGGAGTTCCAGGTTGCAATGAACTGCAATCACACCACTACACTCTAGCCCGTCTCAAAAAAAAAAAAAAGTCCCTGGAAAAAGGTTTTCTTTAGAATCATGCAGTCATTGAATCATTTAATAATGAGTCATTTAAATGGCAGTAGTATACCCTCCAGTGGAGGAAAAAAAATGTCCAATGTTCTCAACTTCTTATCCCTAGCTTGATCTGCATCAAACATGGAATTCATGTGAAGCTTTGGGGATTCACTAGGCTCCTCTCTGAACAGCTTCAGCCTTGATTAGAATATGAGGCTGGTGTGAATTTTTCAAATATTAAAACTCTGTGTTTTTCTTCAAAAATATTTTGAAAAAGTTACACATTGACATGCTTCAAAAGCTAAAAGTACTGAAGTTAAATCTCTCCCTCCACACATTTCCCGGCTATCCAACTATCTTCCCTCAAGGCACCAATATTATAAGTTGTTGGTGAAATGCTTCTGAAAATATTTTGGACTTATAGGAAATATGTTACTTCAATGATAGTCCACAAAATATTTCAAAACTTGCATATTTCACTTAAGAATATAGGTTGAAGATTGTTCTATACTAGTACACAAAGAGCTTCCTTATTTATTTTTCAGCTGTACAAGATTTTATGAATGGGTGTAGTCTCCTATTGAGGTTTTTTCCAGTACTTTGGCAGTACAAACAATGCTGCAGTGAATAACCTTTACATCTGTTGCTTAGCACACATGCCATTGTACCTGTGGCATATATTCCTGGAAGTAGAATTGCTGTGTCAAATGGTGCATTTGTAATTGTGGGAGAATTTGGTAAAATGTTGTCCATGGAGGTCATTTATACCAAATACAGCAATGTATGACACTCCATGCCCTCACTAACTATATGTTTTTTAAAACCTTTTTTTTTTTTTTTTGAAACAGGGTCTCACTCTGTTACCCAGGCTGGAGTGCAGTGGTGTAACTACAGCTCACTGCAGCCTCAACTTCCCAGGCTCAAGTAATCCTCCCTACCCAGCCTCCAAAGGCAAGCACCACCATGCATGGTTATTTTTTACTTTTTGTAAAGTCTCCCTATGTTGCCCAGGTAATCTTGATCTCCTGGGCTCAAGTGATCCTCCCACTTCAGCCTCCCAAAGTGCTAAAATTACAGGCATGAGCCACCACATCCAACGTTTAAAACTTTTTGACTTTGCTAATGTGATAGGTGAAAGATTATATTTCATTGGTTATGGTTGTCATTTTTGCAATGTCCTTTTTATGAATTTGGTTATAGGAACCCCAATTTTTCCTGATACCTGGCCACCTAGTCAGTTTTCTTTCTCCAGAGCTATTTTGGCAAATATATTAATTTAAAAAAAAATGAAGTTTTATGAATAGATATCAAATTTCAATCGACGTTCACAATTTTTTTTTGTTCTCCCTTTCCTACTTATCCCCAGTAGTGGACTTGCCATGAAGCTAGAAAAGCTTAAGCTTAGAGCCCCTTCCAAGAGCCCCTTCCAAAGTTCTGAACTAGTTTTGTACTCATAAATTCTTTTTCTTAAAGAAACTGCCCCAAATTGTATAACTTCAGGCCTAGATATGCCTCTGCTTGTCACCGTCTTCCCTGTTTTCAACCTCTCTCTTCTTAGTTTCTTCTGTATTCCTCTAGAATGACTTTACTCATTTATAAGCACATCCAAGTAGAGCTTATCCACCCACTTTTTTTTTCTTGCCTTTCTGAATGGATCTTGGAGATTTTTCTATATAAGATCCAGAAACCATCCTACTGTTTACTGTTTGTTGATAATTTCGTGGCATTTCATTGTATGAAGACACTGGTCTTTACTTAATCAGTCCTGTATTGGTGGAACTTAGTGGGCATTTGTTTTGTTTGTTTTTTGCATTAAAAAAAGCTCCTGGAAGGTTTCAGAGACTTAAGTGGCAGCTAAAAGCCTGGTTTGATTGTAGGTTTCAGAAGAGATAAGGCTTAAAATACATGAAATTGTTGGGGGAGCCCTAGCCTCCCTTTTTCCACACCCTCTTCAGGTATCTAGGACTCTAAGTCTTATAAAACAGAACACTTATTACCTGCTAGTCACAACCTAGCTATATGAACATATACATCTGCATGGGAAGTTTATCTGTGATTGTGAAACCAAAGACTGTCTTGCTAAAGACATTCTGAATATCTGAAGGCAGGAGGGAGAGATAATTGTAAGGCTTTGGGTGCCTCTAAAATCCTATTGGATAATTGTTGGCTTCAAAAAGGACAAATACCTTCTGAGATCATGTTATTCTGTCAGTGGCATTGCTACAGCCTGCTAACTGACTTTTACCGCCAACATGCTCACATTTTGTTTTGCCATATCTGATGGGGAAGTGTTGAGCCACCCAGCCATGGAGTACTGGATGTCTTCTGCAAGCCGGAAAAGTCTACTACTTAGTATTTTAACCCTTCATCCACTTAATTTTATATATATATATNTAAATGTGAATAATACTATCTCCCCCAGGAATACTGAAAAATTGGGTAATAAAGGCAAATGTTTTGGTGCAAAGGAGCACAGGACTTATTTATTTTTTTTTGAGACAGAGTCTCCCTCTGTAACCCAGGCTGGAGTCCAGTGGTGCAATCTCGGCTCATGGCAACCTCCGTCTCTCAGGTTCAAGTGATTTCTCTGCCTCAGCCTCCCAAGTAGCTGCTATTAAAGGAATGCCCTACCACGCCCAACTAATTTTTGTATTTTTAGTAGAGATGGTGTGTCACCACGTTAGCAAGGCTGGTCTGGAACTCCTGCCCTCAAATGATCCACCCACCTTGGCCCCCGAAAGTGCTGGGATTACAGGCACGCGCCACCATGCCCAGCTAATTTTTCGTATTTTTAGTAGAGATGGGGTTTCACCATGTTGACCAGGATGGTCTTGATCTCTTGACCTCGTGATCCACCCGCCTTGGCCCCCGAAAGTGCTGGGAGTACAGGCTTGAGCCACCATGACTGGCCTTTCATCCGCTTTAGCATCATCACTTCCTTTCTTTTCTTCCAGTTCCATGCGGACACCATGGGAACCACATTTTGGATAGCTGGAAATTCAGCTTTTTTATTCTCTTTATCCCCTTAAAGAGATAAAGATCCTCACTTTTGGGAACCCACTTTTTGGGAAGAAAGGATAATATACCTGTCCGATTTGGTTACCTCAAATCCAATCCTGTTGCCCAGTATTACCTTTTGTTCTTATGTCATTCTTTGGCTCTTCCCTAGAACTCTCTTCCTTGGGACTAAATTGTAGTGGGTTTTAGTTTAAGGGACCACATTCATTTTTTTAAATTCAATATTTGTGGGTACATAGCAGGTATATATCCTTCATTTCTTTTATAAGGAATCAGGTAAATAATACACAGAGAAAGTAAGGAAGGAAAAAACAAAGGTGAGATAAGAGAATAGATGGATCTCAATGCTTATGATTAAGAATAACTTTTAGTAGTTCTTTTTAGCTTACAAAGTTCTATGTCTATTACCCTTTGCGAAGCTCGCATTTCCTTGAAATAGATATGGTGGTGTCTTATCGCCATTTTATAGACAGGGAAGCAAAACAAGGATAAGGCTAATCATGGCACACCTGAATTCAGGCTGATAGGATTTCCCAACATCTTGAGGCTTGATGGTTCAGGGCCGACGTTGTCTGGGTCCCTCAGAAGGTGATCAGGGGCAGTAGCAGTTTCAGAATTTTGGTACTGAAATGGCGGATAGGAGATTTGTCTTGAAGCTCTATTTGGATTGTATTTCAGATAAAATTGAAAAAAAAATCTATTGTCTGTATCTATGGAGGTGCTGATGATGCAGATCTGTGGAGGAGGCGGAAGTCTCTTGGTCCCTCCTCTTCTTTTGAGTTTTCTTATTGGCTGGAAGAGGCAGAGAGCTGGAAACCCAGAACCTCTGTTTCCCTGTAGGACAGGCTGCTAGATATTTATCAAAAGTGTTCCTCTTATGCTGAGTACATGGACCACATTTATCAGAATCACTTGCATTTTTATGGCAATGTGACCAAGTTTTAGCCAATGGGATGTGAGCAGAAATGAAGAGTCCAATTTTGGGCCAGGCCACTGAAACTTTCATGCTTTCTCTCCTTTCAGCACACATGACAATCAGGGAACCATGTGGAAATCATCCATGAGGTATAAGGACACTGGGTCCCTGAATCACCAATTGATGGCATGATGTCTGCTGGTCAGGAAAATCTCCTCTGAACAAGGAATGAACATTGGTTTACTGTAAAATTTTCAAATAATGTAGTATTCTTTCCCATGGTTCAATCTACATTTTGAGAGGTCTCTTCTTTAACTCTTTAATGTGTATTATTTTAAACGTTTTTTCATACTCTAGTATTTGCCTCTATGTATATTCTCACACATACACATATCTAGGTAGGTTTTCAAGTGAATGAGAAAGCACAGTATCAATATAACTTTGTTTTCTCACTTAACATTTAATGAAAATTTTGCTTATGGTTAATATTAGTTTATATGTAAATTGTATATTAATATCAAACTATTAGATGCTAATATATTAATAAAACGTATTTATATTAAGAGTTGCAAAATACTTCATGGTATATATTTGCAATGTTTTATTTAATAACCTCATTATTGATATTAGGTTATTTATCAATATTACAAATATTGCTTATGCTTAAAACATATTTACATGTATATATTTATGCATATGGAAATATTTCTGTAGGATATGTTCTTAGAATTGGAATTGCTGCATCAAAAGGTGTGCAAATTTTATTTTTTGAGTCAGGACACAGTGGCTCATGCCTGTAATCCCAGCACTTTGGGAAACTGAGGAGAGAGACAGCTTGAGCCCAGGAATTCAATACCAGCCTGAGCAACACAGTGAGACCCTATCTCTACCAAACAACAACAACAAAATTAGCTAGGCATGGTGGCTTGCACCTGTAGTCCTAGCTACTCAGGAGGCTGAAGTCGGAGGATATCTTGAGCTCAGGATTCTGAGGCTGCAGTGAGCTATGATTGCATCACTGTACTCCAGTCTGGGCAATAGAGTGAAACCCTGTCTCTGAAAAATCAAAACAAAACAAAAAATTTAGTTTTTGAAGAGATAGGACCAAATTTCCCCCAAATCTATTAAGACTGTGGGGAAATATCCACTTGCCTACATGTTTAACGATGCTAGAAAGTATCCAGCTTTTCATTTTTGTCCATTTAATGGGCAAACAGTGGTATCTTGTGCTTTAAAATATATTACTTACTAGAGAAGCTATACATCTTTGATTATATTTATTATTGTCTACTGTTAATAGTTCATTTGTCTCTACTTTTATCTATTATTTTTTCCAATACAAAACTGATTTGCATATTATTATTTTGTTTGTTATATATATGAGGGACCACATTAGCCATATTTTTATCATTTTCTTAAAGCTGCTTTTATTTTGTGTGTATGTGGTAAAGATGGTGGCCTTTTCAAGTGTGTATTTTTGTTTGTTTGGTTTTTTTTTGCCACGTGCAGTGGCTCATGCCTATAATCCCAGCACTTTGGGAGGTCAAGGCAGGTGGATCACCTGAGGTCACGCATTTGACACCAGCCTGGCCAACATAGTGAAACCCCATCTCTATTAAAAATATGAACAATTAGCCGGGCATGGTGGCAGGCACCTGTAATTCCAGGTACTCAGGAGACTGAGGCAGGAGAATCGCTTGAATGCGAGAGGCAGAGGTTGCAGTGAGCCAAGATCGTGCCATTGCACTCCAGCCTGGGCAACAACAGCAAAACTCCATCTCAAATAAAATAAAAGTTTTATTTTTTTAATTGACAAAATTGTATACAGTAGATGTACCATGTATGAAATGATGTTTTGAAATGTACGTACATTGTGGCATGGCTAAATTGGGCAAATTACCATATGAATTATCTAACATACTTGTCATTTATGTGGTGAGAACACTTCAAGTCTACTTTCTTAACATTTTTCACAAATGCAATATATTGTTATTAACTGTCATTACCAAGTTGTACAAGAGATCTCAAGGCTGATTTTCTTGAACCTTACCTAGCTCTTCACAGAAAAAGATTCTGTAAGTCCAGGCTAGAGGGAGGCCATATGATCAGTGGTTATGGGCATGGTCTTTGGAGTCAGGCTGACCTGGATTAGAGTCCAGGTTATGTCAGATACTTGCTGTGTGACCATAGAAAACTTTCTTACTATCTCTGTACCTCTATCTCTTTTTTTCTTTTTGTTAAAAAAAATAATAAAAGTACTAATTCGTAGAAGTGTTATGAAGTTTAGACAGGATAATGATGCATGTACCTTAGCATAATACTTGACATTTAATAAGCTCTCAACAAATACAAGCTCTTACAGGACAGGTGCTGTGGCTCATGCCTGTAATCCCAGCACTTTGGGAGGCCGAGGCAGGCGGATCACAAGGTCAGGAGTTTGAGACCAGCCTGGCCAACGTAGTGAATCCCCGTCTCTACTAAATATACAAAAATTAACCGGGCATGGTGGCACAGATCTGTAATCCCAGCTACTCAGGAGGCTGAGGCAGGAGAATCCCTTGAACCCTCGAGGCGGAGGTTGCAGTAAGCGAA